CACACCATAACCATTGAAGGCACTGTCGAGGCAGTTAACTTATCCCTGTTTCTAACACAGTCAAAGGTTTTCGATTAAATTCAAGTCCCGACTACTGGGTGGTAATCCAATGAATTTGGCATTGGTCTTGACCTCTCCATGCATTGCATAAATGTGAAAAAAATATTCAACCGTGTCTACTACCAACGTCGAGTGAGGAGATATACTAACCTTCATCTGTGAACAATATGACTTCCGAAATGCAGTCTGAGAGTGACAGTTGTCAAAAACCTCCCTTACCAGTGCAAGAAATTTTGCGATATCTTGATTGGTGTGTGGGAGAGACCAGTAACAAGGGGCTCAGTATTTATTTTACTTTTAACTCGTTGGGCGGGACGAATATTTAATTCTTTTGATAGGAAAACGAGATTCAGTCGAAAACTAGCTAGGCAGATCCACTTTCTCCGTCTTCTGAATTACTTGTTGGCTACTCGTAAGATAAACCCTTTGTCAAATGTACGAGCGACACAATTTGAATTTTTTGGTGAAATCAATACGCACTCTATCACGGCTTCATATCAGGTGGTTCCAGCTGCATTGCAAATTAAGCCATCACTTTCCAAACAGTGGTGTGATGAAGAAACGGCCACCCCACCCCCACCAAAGATATCCTCCGTATTAGTTATGTACAACTTTTCTCAGCTGCGATCAAATGCAATCATCGTCATGCTTCGATCTGGTCGGTTTTTCCCTATTGGTTTATGTCCTGATGCAGAAATTTCGTTGATTGGATGAAAATATGTCTTATGTTTACATCGAGGCCCTTTTGCTAGTTAAGATCTGAGTCATTGGATTTATGTGCCTCTCCATTAATTTGCCTCTCGACTTCAATTATACGCCAAAAATTTGTGGATGTTTTGTAATGAAGCGGGTAAAGTAAATTACCCGCTGCACGGACCCTGCGCTACACGCTGCTACTACCAAAGACGCGAAAACAGACCGCGCAACGATCGAATTCTATATTGATTGATAGATTTGTAACAGGTCGATAAAATCTATAACAACGAACAACTAGCTTTAAACAAGGGGTGAATGCCAGTCGCCTTTTACAGTTGTTCCTCGGTTGTTAGGATGCCGGGTGAAGTTTGAAGGAGAGGGAAACAGGAAACTCTGTATTAGATGTGTATCGCCCAATGCACTTTCGATTCCCTTAAAATTTCATCTGGTTTGGGTACGATGACACCAAAAGACGCTTATTCAACGAGCTGAACAACTCAAGGTCAACTGATATTTTTCTTGGAATATATTTTCACTTCTTGCAGTATAACGGATAATACGTGAGTACTTTGTAGCCGAATAATTGATCAATTTAGTTAAGCTAGAAAATTTTCATTATTTAGCTTATTTACTGTGCACTGAATGAAAAGAGATAAGCTATTTATAACGCGTCCTCAACCAAATAAACACTCTTATCAAACAGGAATTGTTCATTAGAAAGAATGAATTTCCATGATGCTTTGCATGAAATATTTTCCAAATCTGAGCTGTAGCTTCCGAGTTACTACAATTTTTATCACAACACTCAAGGTCGAGAGAATTCAAACGGTGATTAAAGAGAACTAAAAACAGAGAAGTGGGAGATAAAGTCATGAATATATGCACTCCAGTCGTAGCTATCTACATACATGTATGACATTGAAAGCTGAAAAATATTTTCAAAATGAAAGTGATGTCCGAGTTTGAGCAACACCTGCATATGTTCCACATATCACAATAAATGAGGGATTGGTTTGCCATACAGCGTGGACCGCAGATTGAACGCTTACGTTTCAATGGGTGGACATAGAATAGCTGAAATATAAGTGCCGTTTAACGCGGGCCCCTTCGAACAATTCGGTCTAAACAAACGTTAACCAAGAACAACAGCATGCTAGTTTTTGGTTGTTCTCCTTGCCAACCCATATGGTGAGAACGTACTAACAATTTGGTTATAAAAGGCTGCCCAAAGCTGAAATGGAGTCGACGGTGCAAGCCAAAATAATCACACGCATCTGATGCGCCCTTGAGGTATTTTAACTGTGTCGGTCGTGGGATCCTCGGTTGCGGTTTTAAATGTCAACATATGAGTATCCGTCTTCATCATGTTCTGTGGGTTTAAAATAAGATTTCAGATTTAGTTCGATGGAATAATTTTGTAATCTTAGTTTAAGTTTTTTAAGTCAATGCGCTTCATAGGTTTCCTTCGCTCTCAATTTGCGAATAAATTCAATGATTCAGTGGCATTGTTTTCCATCAGCAATAGTCGATAAACTAGGTCAGGTAAATGCAAGCTATCCCTTCTTGTTCACTGCACTTCACGTACTACGGTAGCAAAACAGGCCTTCGATCGGGGAGAGGAAAGTAGAACAAAATCCATTAAATCGCATGCAATAGCCACACTAAACTTTTCCCTTTGTATCTTCTCAGCCTATTTAAGCTCATATTCTTATTAATTCTAACTATCCAGGTCGTCTATATTAAACTTTCTTTTAATTGTATTGTATTGTATTGTATCATAAATGACCTTTGCGGGCAACTATCTCTACATTTCAGTCGAAAATATGTGCACCGTTACAATGGGATAAAAAAATGAAATGATATTCGTATACAACAGTGATAAAACTAAATGGTGTTCATCTTTGTAGATTTAAGATTAGTTAGTTACGGATACTCGCCGTGCCAGTGAGAACACGAGCCAGATAGGGAACCGTTGAGTTGCGATAAATGTTTATACGGGAGGGTAAGCAGCGAAAATTGGATCGGGTTGTAGCGCGTGGGAACAGTGGGCAGATAAATCGGGATGACTGGGGTAATTGAGTATCTTATGAGCAAAATTCTCACATGAAGTGATTTGCAAATTACACAATTTTGTGATCGGAGTGTTTAAAGGAACAAGAGAAACACGGTTGATAAGTACCGAACCGCGACGTAGAGTAATGAAATCCTTTCTAAGTAGTCCAGGGAAAATAACGGGCACAAAATAAATTATGGCAGGAAAGTGCATTGATAAACAAAAAACATATATTTTCTTGTCTGACGCGAATCACAAGCTTTACAATTACCTGAACATAAAACGGACATTTTTCGACGGTGGAGAAAAAATCACAAAAGGTCAAATTGTGTTGTAAGGTTGTTTAAATGATGGCTTTCTTTTTTATGTGTGGTCAGTCCCTGAAAATGTTTCACTTAATACACGCATCTCATTCGGGTTAACTTATAAATTTACTGAATTTGAAGAGTATTCAAATTAATTCAACGTGTCTTGTTGAATTCCTTTTTTGAAGACGGAAATGAATTAGGATGATCATGCGTTCTGACCCCGAGCGGGGTTTGTCAGGATGTCACTTTCGGATTGAAGCGGTGCTTATCAGGTTCACCTTTAGCAGCGTATAATTTCGTAGTGCAATGCGGTCGACAGATTAGAAAGTTTCTCATTTTTGTCGTTATTCGCTGCAGCTATTTGACCCAATTCCAATCTACTTTGTATCCCAAACCCCGAACCATCTTCTGTAATTATTGTTTTTGGCTCTAAGTATGCTCACAAGCCGGTGATAAATCGATACGGCCAATCGCCTGCTATGTCACACCCATCGGGAATTCGAAAAAATAAATTCCAGGAACTACGACACAGCATGTTAGCCAGTAGTAGATTTTAATAAGTAGTATGAAACGTCGGTTGAGGGTTTTGTGACAAAATGAGTCGGATTGATGAAAACTACCACACGTCCGTTTTTGTTCTTAATGTTTGTAATTATGTACTATTTATTTATAACGGAATTTGAATATACCGTCCGGTGTTTTCTTTATGCATCCAGGAAATTGATATCTTTTACGATTCCCTCAGATTAATATCGGTACACTACATCTGATACACAGCCCTTGTTCAGTTTACAACTCCCTA